GTAAACACAAACTTTTATTTTGGATGTGATTAATCGCGATTAATCGCTTGACAGCCCTAAAATACATACACGAAACGCTGCGGTGAGAAAGTAAGACATGCTGCTGTGCTGCTGGACAATAGCATACATGAATTACCTGCAGCAGATCTATACAGGTGGAGCTGGGGAAGGTGGAGGGTTTCTGAAGGCGCGCTGCACTGCTAAGGCAAATCCTAATCAAACATTTGAAGGTTGAGCAGCGAGCTTATTGGCTACTGTCTGATACAGCAGGCAGGAACCAATCGGCTGTGCCCTATAGAGAATGATGTAATTGCAAGCCCGCTTGAGTTAAGGCCATATTAGCCTGCGCCATCTACACTTTCATGACAGAACTTTGTATGTCACGACGACATTATTCTACAGTGCATTATGGCCCATAATAACCTCACCCACTCATATTGCAGTTTGGTATTTCTGTCAGAAAATAATTCACTGGTTCAGACATTATGTTCTGATTGGCCAGGGCAATGGGTGAAAAATCACAAGCCAGAGTGATCATTACTCAGTGCCGGTTGAAAGAATGATTCCCTGAACAGCAATTGTAAAACAGCTTTATGGGATGACTGTGATGTTGTAAAATGAAAGCTTAAGCCTGATCATTCAACAACAGTCTTTTCATGAACTCCAAAAATCAATGTTATATCGGAGTCAGAGTCATCACTGACAGCGAACTTTAATTAACTCCTCTTGAACCGTCTTCATTGAATCCCCACACATCAAAAAGAACAGATCATCTGATCAACAAGGTACCATCTTCAAGTAACATCTTACATTACAACCAATAATAACACTATTTACTGATGCTGAACATAATGAAATCGAACACTTCCAATAGTTCTCTATTTTGTATATGTTACTTACTTTAGAGCAGTGGTTAAAACCTTTAAAGACCCAGGGGCCCTCAAAACCAGACTTCACAATAATGATCATTAAGGAATCAACTAACCACATTATAAAATGCTTAACAAATCATTAGTTACAATACTATAGAATAAAACTATGAACATTATTTTTTTTTTGTGAAAGGTGAAAAGAGGTTCATCCCCCACAATCGAACTGTCGCCCTAGCACAGTTTGCCAAATATCTTCTTTATGTGATGATATGTTAATATAATAACGAACATTGATCAGTGGTAATAAACCAATAAATCTAATGGTAGGGATATTTTTTTATGGTTTTGCCAACCGTCTCATATGAGCGCTCTGGCAGTGTACTTTTCCTGTGGTTACCTCCTCAGGTGACTTCTGTTTCATGAGTCTCTAACTTTAGTGGTAACTGAAAGTCTGAAAATGTTGTTGAAACATTTACACGTGTACTTTTATTATAATATAGTTGAATTATTATTTCAACATGTAATTAAAGATGTACCTTTAAACAATGAAAATGATATAGGCCTATACATCCCCCTTACATTTATAAACTCCTTAAGCATATTTTTATCATTATAGCTGAATTCTTTAACAATTAAATTAAGGGTGTAACTTAAAAAAACAAATACCTTTTTTTAACTAGAGCATTCTTGTATTATTATCCAGCTGCATTACTTAATTACCTTTTTTAAACTCCTCGAGCATGGCATCCAGCTTTGTATCATTGAAGACAAAATGCAGAGGGTGGCTGTAGAACTTGGTGATGGTTTTCAATGGCGTGCAGTCATCAGGATCCACAAAGGCCAGGTCCTTGACAAACAGCAGGTCCACAATATGACATCTCTCGCCCTCATACACAGGAATGCGCGTGTAGCCGCTCTCCATGATCTCAGACATGGTGTTGAAGTCCAGGATGGCATCACCGGCGATCATGAAGCAGTCTCGCAAAGGTGTCATGACATCCTCCACAGTTTTAGTCCTGAGCTCCAGAGCACCCTGGATGATGTTGAGCTCCTCTTTCACCAGGTCATTGTACGGATCAGTCACCCTGAGCATCTCCAGCAGCTTCTCCCTGTTGTACACAGTGCCTATCTCCTGCCCCAGCACGTGGTCCAGGAGTTTACTGACGGGATAGGATGCAGGGAAAGTGAGAATCATGAAAAATTTAGTCAGGAATATTGTGTTTGCACCCACGGCAAGCCCATGCCTGGAGCAGATGGCTTGTGGCACGATTTCTCCGAATATAACGATCCCTATGGTGGACACCACCACAGCGATCAGCCCCGATCCTGCGATGTCATCGAGCAGTATGGTCAAAGTGGTATTGACCAGAACATTTCCTAAAAGCAAAGAGCACAGAAGGTAGTTTCCTTGGCTTCGGACTGGCTCGATCTTCTTCGCGTAATTCTTCTCCTTCTCAGTCCCGCAGTTTTGGACAATCCGGAGCTCCATGGGATCCAGCGCCATCAGTCCCAGATTCAGCCCGCTGAACATGCCGGACAAACACAACAGCATGGCAATAAATATAACCTGCAGCCAGAAAGGCAGCAGGAACTTTTTCTCCTCCACCACGAGCACTTTAGTGTCATGCCCGTCATGATAGAACCAGGTGTTCTCGGACCACGAGTCCTGCGCGCCAGGTGTTGTGGCAGCGATGCACAGGTAATACAATTTACTCTTCTCTGTTTTTCGCAGAGGCTTCACATCTAGTTCAATAATCCCAGATGTCTTTCGGGTTACCTCCACGTTAGGAAGGATGATGATATCGGAGGATCGGATGCCGCAGGGATGAGAGGCAGGTGCGTCTCCGGGGCTCTGGCTCTCTGCAGGTGCGCTGCTGCTGTGTTCCGTGAAGGCGAGTTTGGACCACGTCTCGTTGTTGATGTTTTGCCCATAGACCCTTAACCTGACACGAGATCGCTCGCTGACGCGCAGAATGCCTCTCTCCATAAACGACACCTCGCCGGTGTCCTCGAGCCGGATGCCAATGATGACAGTCTCTTCTGGCGCGTCTTTGCCATCAGTGCTACTGATCAGACAACTGCTGACAATTAAGAACATAACAGTCAATGATCTAGCCCGGTTCAGCGCCGCCATATTAGAAGTGGGCACTGCGGTCCATTGCTCTGCCATGTTGACAATGGGCAGGCTTTAGTCAATGAATGTAGGATGCCACAGTCAGAGGGAATCCGCGTCCGCCTTCATCTTCTCTATGGCCGTCCTGACATCAAGCAACAAGGCCGGCATTACTCACCGCGTATCGCTGCCTCTCTGCACCACGATGACACACCAACACGCTCTATGTGAACTGCTGTGAGTACAGATGCCTAGTGACGGACGTTCGTTTTGACCAACCCGGTAGCGTATGCAAATTGAGCCCGGGTGCATCCAATGACATCGCGCGAGATGTCGGGGGAGAGGCGGTGCTATCAGCCTTAAACCCGGTAGTGGGTGTTTCCAAAGACCAATCAGCTGGTAAAATGAGCAGTACCTAAAAGGTGGGAGTGGTCACCGACGGCCAACTGTATCTCACGCTCACCATTGAAAGTACTGGCCAAAACATCGCATTAACGTACTGAAATTTCGGGGTTCAAATCATTTTGAAGAAGGTAGAGTGAGAGAAAACAGTTTGATTGTTTTACCAGTGTAAATCATACATTATACAATAAATTAACCGAACAGAGTAAAAAATTCTCCTTGTATTTGCTTGTAAGCGCGTGCGCGTCTCTGCCAGATAAACAAACTCGTAACGCCTCCATGCGTTCATTATGTCACATTCTAAAGTAAACAGTTTGTGATGTTTCAGAAAATGAAAAAAGGAGGAAAATGAAGAAAGAGGAAAATTGAATACTAATACATTTATATTTAGATTTTTTCCCCTTACTTTGCCTTTATTAGCTGTCACCTTTTGGAAGACTTTAAATTAGATTTGAAAAAAACAAACATCTACTATATTTTTAATAGCTACATTTAGAACTACATATTCACACACCCGCGCGCCTATAAAACACTCTATTTTAAATGTAAACATTTCAAGTATTTTAATAAGTTTATTCACAGAAACCAGACACAAAACAAATTAATAAATAGAATTCCTTGCAGATGTAGAAATTAGCATTTATTACCATAATCTTATAATACATCGGGCACTGACTATACCAAAATATAGGCAAACAAAATAAAATACACATTATAACCAAATCCAGTTTAGTTATAATTAATTGTATTTTGTTTATATGTGGTGGTAAAGTTAGTGTCCGGGTACTGATTACGGTAATAAGCCTGTAAATGAGTGCATGTGTATTCTTTTTGGTTTATTTTTATATTGAATATGTACAAAATAATATAGACTAAACAATTGAAAAACGATGTCGTAATTCCGTCATTGCATCCTTATCACTAAAGCCAGCAAACCTGTAATCTCCCCAGACTATTTATTTGCTGTATAATAATTTGTTTGGCTGCTGTTTTGCCTATAGAGGGAGCCAAAACACCAACAATAACGCATTTTGACTAATCGACTTCCTTTTTCAAAATCAGTACCACCTGAACATGAATAACAGTCAAACTGAGCGAAGTAAAATGTGCAAGAGGATGTTGCAGATTTGAAGGGCACAACACGAATACAACCATGCTTAGCTCTGTAAATATTTCTAGTTTTCTTTATTATAGCCTACAGTGTCATAGAATGAAAACTGTTGTTTTGCATATATTGTTTAATTAATAAAGATAAAACTGATATGGAAATATTCTTAAATGGGCGATTATCACTGTGTGAAAAAGCACTCAATGTTGCTCTGAGCGATTTCAATGGACATTCCACATAAATCAAATTAAAGAATATTTTGTAAGCCTATTTATTAGCTCATAAGACATTATACTTTTGAAAAACTCATTCTAAATAGTAATGACTAAATCAAGACTTGCTTTTACACAAGTTCTTGGCAGGTGGCAAGACTACATTAATATGGACCTTGGTTACTGATAAGTTGAACTATGGGAGGTACAAAACATTCTTTCCAATTCAAGGTTGCATGATCCTGTGAGTATGAATGAGCAGATGTGCAAAGTGCAAGATCATTAACAAGGACTTAAAATTAACTTGTATTTATTATAACTATTGACATTGCATGACCAACTATTTTTTTCAACATTTTTAAAAGGTTTTTATAACTTTCTTGAATTACTCATTTTATTAAAAAGTTACGCAACTGTCAAGAGATTATAAATGCAATTGTTACAATACAACGTGTTACTATTTTGAAATCAGTATAGTTTTTGACCCTCACTAATATTTTGACTGAAATATATATATGTATATATATATTATATTAAGTCTTGCAGATAAGAGTCAAAACTTTGTTGAAGTAGATAGTTATGCTCAAGGCCTCGCTCTAGGTCATGGACATCCATCTGCTTGCCCTTGCAAACGGGGGTGCTGATTTTGCATGTGGGATAAACGTTATCATTTACCCCCCTGTTGGACTTTCAACAAAGGACACATTTCATCAATTTGCCATAGTTTTCCACATAAAGTTGCTCCAAGATTACACACAATAAAGAAATAGCAAAATGTGAAGAAACAATTATTTGTGCCATTTTATACAATATATTCAAATATAGTCGAGACAATAACAAATAAATTAAGAAAATACAATTTGTACAGTTGGTGTACAATAAATTCAAGATCTAAAAGTCTAAAAGAAAATCTTCTTACACAAATGTATGCTTAAAAGATGAGACAAAAACAGTGCAACCTGTTTTGACATTGGACTATGATTTCAAAAAGACAAATATGAATACTGGAAATAATCTTTCAATGAAAATCCTTCACTTGAAGTTCTAATGCATGTTTTGCATGAGTATCAAGAAGCAGGCCATAAGAACAGAAGAGGATGATGACCTGTGCATGTACTAAAAGAGCAATCTGCTATGAAATGAGCTTGAAAAAATCAGTGAAAGACCAGAGTATAGGCTATATCCACAGAAGAGCTCCATTACTTCATCAAGTGTCTTAGCTGGTCCTGCAGGTTTTTGGAGTGTTCTACACTGTGAAAGACATTAAAGATGAAGAGTTATTGAAAGTAATGTTGTATAGATTTCAATTATATAGGCCAAATATTATGACTTACTTCTTTTGAATGGCTTCTTGCCTGGATTTGAGAGGTTAAAAAAATAAATTAGACAGACTCTCTCTTATATTTAGGAATTTATTTGGAGATTTACATAGAGACAAAAAAAAATTGTAACAAACTTTATACTGATGCCATTCATTTACTAGTTTTACAATTATTTTACACATTTACAGCCTTAGGATCTAAAGGTGTCTATTAAAAAAAAAAATCACAAGATAAATAAGTGTGTCCAAACCTTTGACTGGTAGTATACATGATAATGAAGATAAATGCAGTATGCAACACACACTTACTGATATTGCAAGTGGGTCGTTATAATAGACATTTTCCGTAGACTCTGTAAGAATAAATAAGAGGTTAAATGCTTTATTAAAGATGAAATAATAATAATAAACGAAAATTTAATAATTAAGCTTTTATATCACATACATCTTCAGAATGCAGAATGGCATCTTCTTGAATTACCATATTTCTCGCTGCCTGACTGAGTAGCTGTAAAGTAGAAGGGACCGTTACAAATATAAATAGCATTAATACGGAGCCTTGTCAGAGTGCGTCCTAAAACCCAGTTTCTAGACAGCATGTCTGAACATCATATAGCCTACCACCGAATATTTGGGCCTGTGCTATCGAAAAATGTTGTCTAGGCAGCGTAATAAGTTGAGGCTCTCCTAAGAGGGAAACAATTAACGTTACAGAAACAATATGGCGTAAGAAAACGTTTCGTTACTTCTTGGCTCCGGGATCCTTTCAACACTTGACGGGTTAGAGCGATTACATCTCCACTGCAAGAAGTGACTTTATCAGACAATAAACCTTTAACAGATTGACCGAAACGCGACTGTGTCTCGGAAGAAGCCATCACTGTTTACTACGGATCCTGGAGAGGGACAATTTAAAATGTGAACGCGAATGACACAGTCTTTAACGACACTGACGAGAGGTTTTTGAAATTATATCTAAAAAGAGAGCTCTTCCGATCAAGTCGAGTAAAGTCACGCATATCACAGTTTATTTGGCACATTTAGCCTATTTTTGTGTTGTGAAACCAATCGAATATAATAAATTATTTAAGATAAAAAATAATCTAGCATTAAACGTAGCAAATTTAAAAACATCCTATAATGTCAATACTGTTACTCGAGTTATTGTGAGGAAAAAATATTATTTAAAGATTGTATTATTCATTCATTACGTTTATAAACCAACAAACAGACTAAACTATTTTAGTTATTTTTAGTTAGCCTACTCATTTTGCTAATTTTAATGTTATTGGCATAATTTTATTGAAAACCCTATAGAAAATGAACAGAAAACAAGACATCTTCAAGACAAGTCCATATAAAGTTTAGTTTCAGCTATGTCCATTTTCTAAAGTTTAACCACCTCCTTGCTTGACCATTTATATAAATAAATAAAGGATTTTGTTCCATTTTGTTCGTGTTAATTTTTAATGAAAATAATGTCAGAGTCTGTTAGAATAAAATCAAATGTTTACAATTTATCATGTCCGGTAATTTTATAATCAGTTTAAAGGTAATCAAAACAAAACATCAAATGCTCTGGAATGCCTCTTGCTACATTTCATTAAACTTCTTTCACATAGAAACATGTGCTAACAATTATGGATATTTGCATTCAGAGGCTACCTTTTGGGGGTAGGAGACCATTTGGCCCCTTTTGTAGACCACATTCCTTTGTGTGTCAGTTTTATCTCTAAACTCCTAAAAACCTTACTACCTTTGGTTTGACTTATGGAAGTGACACTTGTGCAGTCGCACTGAGACATTTCTCATGATACCAAACATGTATTAAAAAGTATAATTGTTCACATTAAAACCATATATATTCGTGTGTGAGTACTGGTGATAGAACGAGTAGGGGATGAGGAGAAGAAAAGCAGGTTACTTTTGTCTCAAATGATTAGTTCAAATGATCATTTTCAACAAGGTCCTTTGTCTTCTTGAGGAGTGGTCGTTCCTCAAACAGTTCTCAGTCTTACAGATCCAATCAGCAGCTTTGTTGAAAACAGGCCAGCCCAGATGACACTTAGATAGAGGAAGCTAAACTATTTCAGGGTCAAGGAGGTGGCATTGAAGAGTTAGCATAAAAGTCTCCTTTGGCTTGCACACATGGGCAGTGCTGTTTTGGATATAGAGCTGGTGGACAACTTGGATGAATGTATATTGACAATGTCTGAACCGCTCATCCTACCATGGCTTCTCTGTTCATGTCTGTTATCTGCAGTAACTCTGGCTGCACTGTATCTCAAAAGGAAGATGAATGGATTTGTGCCAGGGAACAGATCTCCTCCAAGCCTCCCCTCGATGCCCATCATTGGAAGTCTCCTCAGCCTCGTGAGTGACAGTCCTCCACACATCTTCTTTCAACAACTGCAGGAGAAATACGGAGATATTTATTCCCTCATGATGGGCTCCCACAAAGTCCTTATCGTGAACAACCACCATCATGCGAAAGAGGTTCTGATCAAAAAAGGAAAAATATTTGCAGGGAGGCCACGAACTGTAAGTAAACTGCTTTAAATCACTTTCATCAGCAATTGAATTATACTGCACTTTAAAAAAAAAGTTGTTTCAATTAAAAAAGTTAATGTCCATGCTGCCTTAAAGTTTGAAGTTTAGTCAACTCTAAAATCAAAATTGTAATTTCACATTTCAAGTTGACTAAACTTAAATGTTTTAATTTTACAGATAAGTTTTTTTTAATGAGGCTTTTTATAATTATATTAAAGGTTACAACAGACTTGTTAACTCGAGATGGGAAAGATATAGCATTTGCTGACTACAGTTCCACATGGAAGTTCCATCGGAAAATGGTTCATGGAGCTCTTTGTATGTTTGGTGAAGGTTCAGTTTCTATTGAGAAGATAAGTGAGTATCACTGCAGCCAGCATGTCATTAAATATGTAAAGAATATATAAAATATGTATTTTTAACAGAACCTGCTACTCAATTCTTCCTCTAAAGTTTGCAGGGAGGCGAGCTCTATGTGTGAAGTGTTGACTGAAACCCAGAACAGCGCTGTGGATCTGGCACCGGAGCTGACCCGTGCCGTCACAAACGTGGTGTGTGCTTTGTGTTTCAACTCCTCGTACAAACGTGGAGATGCTGAGTTTGAGTCCATGCTCCAGTACAGCCAGGGTATCGTGGATACAGTTGCTAAAGACAGCTTGGTGGATATTTTCCCATGGCTGCAGGTGAGATTTAATTCAATATGGGTCTTATAGAACAATTATCAATTTACACTGCAAAAGTTTGGGGTTGGAAAAGATTTTCTAGTCTTTTATACTCATGCATTCATTTGATCAAAAGGAAAACAGTAATATTATGAAGTATTATTACAATTTAAAAAAAAAAGTTTTATATTTTAATATAATTGAATATAATTTACTCCTGTTATGGTAAAACTGATTTTCAGCATCATTAATCTCATTTTGGGTTCCCCAAACAAAAGTTCTTAAAAAAAAAAAACAAGCATATTTTAATACAATAAAATGTATATAATCTTAATATAACTAATCAGACTCCACTATAAAGAACCTTTTGTGGAATGGGAAGGTACCATGGGTTTAAAAAGCTTTTCAGGGATGCTAATAAAGAGAGCTTTTATTTTTAAAAGTGTAGAAAGTTTAAACGAACAGCATTTATTTGAAATAAATCTTTTGTAATATTATAATGATTAATAAACATATTAATTTATTTAAACTTACTGACCCCAGACTTTTGAACAGTAGCGTGTATATTAAAGTTATGACTCTCAGATGTTGCAACTGGTTTGTTAACTAAAATTTAATATGTATTCCTTCCTTCAAGATATTCCCAAATAAAGAACTCGGAATCTTAAGACAGTGTGTTTCCATCAGAGACAATTTGCTTCAAAAGAAATATGAAGAACACAAGGTAAAAAATATATATATATATACATGCCTATATTCTGTGTAGTATGTATCTAACATGATATCATAAAAGCTACATGAATAATGGTTATAACACCATTATTTTACCCTCAGAGTTTTAGATAAATGTAGTGCTGCAGACTCTTAAAACAGCAGTTTTCATTCAAGTCCATTTAGAGAAAAAGCCTTTCTCAAATCCCTGGGATTTGTCTCCCTCTACAGGTGGATTACAGTGATAACGTCCAGCGGGACCTCTTGGACGCACTTCTGAGGGCCAAACGCAGTTCAGAGAATAACAACACCAGCTCTCACGATGTTGGTTTAACTGAAGACCACCTGCTCATGACTGTAGGGGACATCTTCGGAGCAGGGGTGGAAACCACGAGCACTGTACTGAAATGGTCAATAGCATACCTTGTCCATTTTCCACAGGTAAATAAAGCTGCTCACAGCTGAGCTGGCTGTACTGAATTAATTTATATTTTCTTTCTTGTAATGAAATATTGCATTTGACATTAGGTGCAGAGAAAAATTCAGGAGGAGCTCGACAATAAGATTGGAAAAGACAGACACCCCCAGCTCAGTGATAGAGGGAATTTGCCTTATCTAGAGGCCACTATAAGAGAAGTTCTGAGGATCCGACCCGTCTCCCCACTCCTCATCCCTCATGTGGCGCTCCAAGACTCCAGGTAATAACACTAAGATTTAATAGTAATAATAATAATAATAATACTTTTATAATATAATGTTACAAAAGATTTTGAATAAAACTTTTGATGAATAGGAAGTTCAGAAGAATCCTGAGAAATTAAGTATTACGTTTTCCAACGCTGATTATAAGGAATGTTTATTGAGCTGCAAATCAGCATATTAGAATGATTTCTGAAGGATCACGTGACACTGAATATTTCTAACATGCAGTCAAACATGACACTCAACAAACCTAGAAAGTTCAGATATTTCATGTGTTCTAGCTCAAGCACACCTGGTGCAACTATAATGAAGCCCTTGATTTATTTACATCGGTGAAAACACCTGTTTTGAAGATCTGTGCCTCTGTGAGGGATTCTATCCAGGGGGTTGAATTAATATTTTTTTGAAACTGTACAAGTCATTAATAGTTTCATTTTAAGTTGAATACTTGAAACATTATTTCCATACTTTTGTTTGAATTGCAAACAGCTGGAAGTCTTCTGATTTATAGAGTCCTCTCTGCTCACTTGTAGTGTGGGAGAATACGCTGTGCAGAAAGGAACCAGAGTCATTATTAATCTGTGGTCTTTACATCATGATGAGAAGGAATGGAAGAATCCTGAGCTATTTGACCCAGGTGAGAATCTGCAATGATTTCTAAAATTCGTGTGTGTCTTTGAAAGTTACCAAAGCGGTGCATCTTCTGACAGGACGATTTCTGAATGACGAGGGTGATGGTTTGTGCTGCCCATCGGCCAGCTACCTGCCATTCGGTGCTGGGGTACGCGTTTGTCTCGGTGAGGCTCTGGCAAAGATGGAACTCTTCCTCTTCCTGTCATGGATTTTGCAAAGGTTTACGCTAGAGATGCCCGCTGGCAAGCCTCTGCCCGACCTCCAGGGAAAGTTTGGTGTGGTTCTTCAACCTCAGAAATACAAGGTTATTGCTAAACTGAGAGCAGACTGGGAAAAATCCCCACTAATGCAGCACTGCTGAGTAAATGAATGTATTTTAATATATTGGTTAAAAAAAAAAAAACATTGGTTAAAAAAATACATTGGTTAAATATGAAGCCTAATATCCAATAACACAAAAAGCATATCTTGAGACTAAATGAATTTTAACCCAATTTTGGGTAAAATATGGACAAACCCAGCCATGTAATCCAAAGGCTGGGTTTGTCCATATTTTACCCAAAATTGGGTTAAAACAACCCAGCATTTTTAGAGTGTAATTGAAAAAAGTGCTGCAGATGGGTTCTCGAAGTAAAAAAAAAAAAAAATCACATTCATTTTCTCCAAAGGGGAATTGATTTTTAACACAAACCTAAAAACGTTTAAACACAGACCTACTATGAGTTGAGGTATGTTTTTCATTCAAGTCATCAATCTACATTATATCCATTTTTTTATATAATTGTGTATAATGTTGTAAGTTCAGGTGGAAAACTACATTATGATTCTGCATAGAAAGGTACACCAGAGTGAATCTCCCTACACTCTTACTTAAATAGGTGTGTGTATACTGTATATGCATGTATGCATTGTTTCTAAAACAAACAACTTTTTATATTTATCCACCATTTTTATTTTAATTATGCTGTTTATGCTTTCTCTCATTAAAGTGAGTATTGTGCCTTATGTATTTTTGTCCAATTTTCAAATACTTTTTTTTGCATCAAATCAAAGTTTGTAATGTTTTGATTCACCTTGTAGCTGGTTGGCTTGTTAGACTTTTTAAAATTCCTATGGGAAAAAAGAATGGCAAAAAATACGAATGGAACGAAGGCTACAAAAAACAAACTAAACTAAATCACTTGCAGAAATTCTTTGGCTTTAATAACTTTTTTTATTTATTTGGAACATTCTTTGATACTCTTTATTTTGGTTGAGTCTTCTTATAAAATGCAGAAAATACAGTTTTATATAAAAAGAAAGTGACTACAGATACAAAACTAAAACGTAGTACCAGGCTTAAATCAAAGCTTAAGAAACAGAAAAACTCAATTGGCTTGCGAAGCCTTCGTCACCTTCAAGCACTCACACACTCACCGCTCAGTGTCAAAACAGTGCAATGACAACTTATTTAGGCAAAATCAACACATCTCATTCACAGTGAGCTATCCAACATATTACTCAGATTTCCACTTTTATTCATATACCTTTGGTCTCAAACATCAAAGGACGAGAAGAAACAATGGAGACTAAAGCTACAGAAAGAACGACGAGCATCGTCGCCGCAACAGATGACTTGAAATCCTTACTGAACTGACTTCATAACCTTAAGATTTCCCATAATCGGTCAAATATTTTGATAAATGCTTTAACTATGATGATATAACTGGTCTAAATAGTTGAGAACACTCAATATTTGGATTACTGGTACATGCATGTTTTTGAAGGCATCATGTCTGTGTTGGAATCTGCCTCCCAAAACCAGTTTTTCCAGCTAACAAATTAGGAACCTAATTTATCAGTTACGTCACGTTTTAAAGAAAATTAGCCACCATTTACACAGGAACACTCTGATCTGGAGATCAACAGGGTCGAAAAGCCATCTGTGCTCAAGCTAAGACTCTATTAAAGGACACCTAACTGCTAATCCAAACCAAAAGGTCAAACAAACACATTGGCCTGAAGAACGATCCACTTAAAGGAATCCACAATGACACACTCTCTCAACACACACACGCAGTCTAGAGAATGCAGTGGAGCAGCTTTGGACAGTCTCACCACCACAGAAAAACAAATCCTAATCTCATCATGAACCCGACATAAGTGCTACACTAGCATGACAGTAACCTTACCTGATCTGCTACAATAAAACGCACGTTAAAAGATTATTTTATGTAATAAGGCCTATACATAAGTTACTGTTAGTGGTGCAAGAGTTCCCTTACAGTGTTAGGATACAAAAATAATTGTAAAGTACTATGGGAGAGTACAGAAAAAAGAAATTAAGGCAAACAACAAACATATCTATGGAAGGCTAATCAAGTGATCCTTTTCAAACAAGAAGTTTCCATCATATCATACTGGCCCTTAATAGTTTTCTGCAGAAATTCTATTACACACACATACGGTTCTCTTTAAGGCATATGAAAACTACTTGAATCAACAAAGGCACCTATTGTAAATGTACAAGCTGGGTTCAATCTATATACAAAGGTATTTTCAGCCTTCATTTGAAGAGTCTTTGCATAATGATGTATGATGTAATGATGTAACTTAAAAATGTATTACTATATAGTATGTGGATGAAGTCAGTTTTTGTTTGAGGATCTACTGAGTTTCTGCAAATAATCATGCAACATATTGGATAGAGCCCAAGACCATGTACAATGATGAAACAAAATGGCAACCATACCCTGAATTATTATTAATATAATAATAATAATATTATAATAATTATTTTCCTTCATTTTTCTGAATAGCATCATGCAGATACTCCAGATAAAAACTTTTTTTTAAGGACACGTAATAAAGACAAAAAAAAACAACAACTGAATATTAAAGCTCTAAAGTGTTAGCAGACTGCTCAGTGACTGTCTTTTCCATTTTTTGTGCACAAAATAATCTTTTAAGTGTACAATATAAACAAATTAAGATTAATGAAATCTAAAAAATGTAAGTCCCTCCACTGAAATTCCACCTCCATTTTTAGGATCATAAAAAGATATTAAAATAAATCCATATGAATCAAGCGGTTTAATCCAAGTCTTCTGAAGAGACACCATTTAAAATGATTAACATATCTAATTTAGGCTTTTATTCTCTTATAAACATTGATCAACAAACATACAGTAACAGAAGTTCAAGTGTACTTGCTTGACACATAAGAAACCTCATTGGTTCTTGCTGAAGCTTGATTGGTTGTCACATACCAAGCAAGTACGTTTTAGCTTCCGTTTACCATATTTGATGTGCTCCATGTACGTGCTAAAGGAAATATAATTGTATTAACTTTTTAAAGCGACACGGTTTTGGTGGAATGGTTATTGGCGAAATCTCTTAGGCTTCATTAAAAATATCTTCATTTGTTTCAAAGATGAAGGTAACTAATGACAGAACTTTCATTTTAGGGTAAACCATCCCTTAAAGTATTTAAAAAAATATAAGTACGAATTCAGGAGCAAAAACCAGCACAAATCAATATCCCCAGAGCTTCATCTCAGGAGGCAATCAGCCCCCAAAAAACTGACAAAAAGCCTTAAATCTACAGGGATGACACCCAAAGCTCGATAAGGCGGGAGAATTTCCCCTGTGGTTTTGATCGCGACCTCTCTGTGAGGCAACAGACCTATTAACGTCTTTAATAGCTCACCCTATTAATCCATTAAACCGTGAGGACTCACACATTAACGCCCTTTTAAAACTCTCTCACATGCATACACACACACGAGAAGTACACCCAAAGTGACATAGCTGACAGTACAAACTGATGTATCTTAAGAAAGTAAAGGGAGACAGCAGTCTAAAGTAAGTCTCTGCTGGTTGTGCTCAACTCTGGGAGTCCGTGTTGTTGCCGGGATGTGGACCGTCCTGTTCGTTGATAGTGTGCAGATGGAGGCAGACTGGAGGCCGCTGAGGCTCTCTGTGCTCCAGAGGCATGTCTGAGGCAGCGAGGCCCTGCTCCTCATCCCCGGGACCCAGAGGAGGGCTGTTGCCGCGGGGGTTGCAGCTATCACAGAAGTCCTGCTCCTCAAGCTCCCCTCCATCCATATGCCCCACAAGATCTTTCATCTCCTCCTCTTCCTCTCCGTCTTTCCCCTGGCTGCACACGCATACCTCAATCCCAGAGTCGCCCGTAAAGCGCCGGTGGCGCCCTGGAGTCTTGTCTTGGGTTTCGGGAGAACAGTCTTCTACGGGTTCGGTCAGGTCCTCGCTGGAGCTGCCCTGTTTGACTGGGCTGTGTGAGGTAGCGCATGCCACCTGTTGGAGCTGCCTGTCCTCTAGGCTGAGGTACTGTGGTTTGTGGACATCTCTGTCAGGGCGGTGTGCGGTGGGAGAATGTGGCTGCTCTACACAGGGTCCCGGGGAACAGTTCTCAGATGCAGGCGGGGCAGTGGGGCTGCACTGCAATGGAGGACAGTGCTCATCTGGCTGTTCAGAGCACAGGGGCTCCGAGCTGGTGGACTGGGCTGGCTGAGAGGCACTGTATGGAGGCGGGGGTGTCGGAGGTCTGTTTTCGACTTCCTCGTATGCGGGTAAGAGGTAGCCAGACAGGAACCCTGGAGAAGAGGAAAAGAAGATTCGGTTCAGAGTAAAAGCTGATCCACACAAACTATTGAAGTAACATATTTCAAACAGCCAAGTAACCATTTTTTCAAACTTGTAATGAGAAGCGCTCATCAACAAAAGGAGTAGATGCTAGGTTTGTTGTGGTAGCCAGCCATACACTGATACATTACTTGCCCTCGGCGGCGTAGTCAGCCATATACAATAAATTAATTTCCCACGCGGCACCACCCCCGTTGGAGTTTGGTTTTTACATTTAGTTCAGTTGGACAACAGATGCAGCAATTATGAACTGAAATCGTCTGCTGTGCTCCATACAGCATGAGCTGCAGAGTAACAGCACACTGACCAGACAACGTTGGACGATTTAGTGCACAACAGATCCAGAGAATCATTGACAAATCTTGTAAATGTGTGGTCAGTATCGCCACTCACTATACATAGAGTATGCCTGAGATCACGAATTCGAAAGTGAAAAGCGAGCGTGCTTTCAAAAACGATTTCAATACTCTGCATATAGATAGCAGCACCCTGATACTCACAAATTACAGGCCTATTGTATACGCATGATTGCAAATTAAATTTACAAATGATTTGACAGAACTAGTAGACAAAGTAACGCTGGATTTAGATGCATACAGGACAAGCAACTTTAAAAATCATTCATTTTAAACTTTGCTGAGCTATATGCAGTTGGTCACGGTCATATTCACAGTGCTATATGTAAAATTAGTGTTGCATGTTTTTTTGTTAAGAAAATAGGACACATAATGCGCATACTTAGTATTTACTTCCTTTTTATGTTGTTTTTTTCTTCTTCTTTGTGAAATATACAATAATAGGATTACAGAAGCAATAAGTTGCTATCTAAAGTTTAAACAGTCACACTAGATTAAGGTCCAATTCTCACTATTAAGTATGACTTTCAAAGTATGACTCATTAATAGTTTGGTAGTTGTTAAAGGGATACTCCACTTTTTTTTGGAAATACGCTCATTTTACAACTCCCCCAGAGTTTTACCTTTTTTGAATCCATTCAGCCGATCTCCGGTTCTGGCGGTACCACTTTTACCATAGCTTAGCATACATCATTGAAGTGCACAAGCCCATTAGCATTTCTCCCAAAAAAATTACCAAAGTGTTTCGATATTTTTCCTATTTAAAACTTGACTCTTATATAGTTACATTGTGCACTAAGACAGACGCAAAATGTAAAGTTGCGATTTTCTAGGCTGATATGACTAGGAACTATACTCTCATTACTGCGTAATAATCAGGAAACTTCACTGTCGTGCCATGAGTGCAGCAGATGTAATGTTATGACGCAGCGTCTTGTGCACTTCAATGATGTATGCTAAGCTATGCTAAAAGTGGTACTGCCAGAACCAGAGATCGGCTGAATGGATTCAAAAAAGGTAAAACTCAACAGTTTAACTCTGGGGGAGTTGTAAAATGAGTGTATTTCCAAAAAAAAGTGGAGTATCCCTTTAGGCTTAGGTATTGGGTAGGATTAAGGGATGTAGATTATGGTCATGCAGAATATGGCATTAATATGTGCTTTATAAGTACTAATAAACAGCCAATATCCTAGTAAGATGCATGCTAATAAGCAACTACTAGTAAATAGTGCGAATTGGACCCTAAACTAAAGAGAAATCGTTTAAATCTCTTTATTTATTTTTAAATTCAAATTGTATGTTATTGATTAGAGGGAGAATGACAAGGGAATAAAGAGGGTACTGACTGAAGTAGAAGGGTAGAGAGGAGTAGTTATGGGCTTCTCTGTAAGCGATGAGATTGATCTCGTGCTGCCGCTGCTGTTGCTGTAGTCTGTGTTTGGCTCGGCGGTGGTGACACACACAGCAGCAGCCCAGAATGATAATGAGCGTCAGGACCAACCAAAACCCTGATGAAAGAGCACAAAACACAATACTGAGTGAACATCTTCCATGTTATTTGGTGTGGTGTGGTGATGGCGCAGAGGATAAGACACATGCCTTTGGTGTGAGAGACCCAGGTCCAAATCCGCTGTGATGTGTCCCTGAGCAAGTTGCTCGAGAGGCATGCGACCTCTGACATATATATAGCAATTGTAAGTTGCTTTGGATAAAAGAGCCAGCTAAATGTATGAATGTAAATGTAATTTTGAGTTGTCAACAGTGCTGCCTGACAAGATGCGTTATAAGTTGCTTGGTTTCTTTTTTGAATGCATCTTGTCTGGCTCCTCCACCCAGAGTGACCTTTTTTAGGCCGGATTCTTTAATTGGCTGCAAGCTGTATACACATATCATTCAAACGTTTGGGGTCAGTACTATTTTCTAAAATGCTTGTCTCTAAGATGCTCATCGACTAAATTTTCTTGATGTTATATTGTGAAATATTTTTAATAGGTTAAATTAACTTTTGTATTTTTCTTGTGATGGCAAAGGCTTATGATCCTTCGGAAATCATTTTAATATGCTGACTTGGTGCTTATGAAACATTTCCTATTATTATCAATGTTATTTTTTTTTTTTTGTGGAAATCTTAATAAGTGTTTTTAGGATTCTTTGATTAATAGAAATCAAAGAAATCTCTTCCAAGCTTTATAATAGGAGTGAATAGTAAATGAGATTTTGAAGCCCAAAAGCTAGAGATTGTAGTTTATAAAGTTATAATTACATATTTTTGTCTTACAAAAAATTCATCGCTTCGGTTTAGAAGGCCCTATGGTGCCGTATGGATTACTTTTATGATGGATGGATGGATGGATGGATGGATGCGTTTTTTTTGGGGCTTCAAAATCTCAGTTACATTCATTGCCATTATAAAGCTTGGAAGAGCCAGAATATATGTATTTTTTATATAACTCTGATTGTGTTATGTGTTAAAAAGTAATATGCACCTAGGATGGCTTGAGGGTGAGTAAATCTTGTGATAATTTTCATTTTTGGGTGAACTAACCCTTTTAATATCATTTATAAAAAATCTACAAAATGCAACCATAATGGTACAAAAATGCAAAATGTCTTGCAAAACAACCTAACAATCTGGCACCAGATCCCAGGAGAAGAATGTACTGGACATTAGGGTGGGATGCTCACCACTCAACAGTAAGAGCCATGCAGGTCCATGTCATGCGAGACAAGTGTGTGAAACTTGGCCCGAAATAAAGCAGGGACCTTTTCTGGTAGAAGGGGAAGGGGGTTAAGAAATTTAAGGCAGCTGTTTACGGGATCTGGTCTGATCCGGTTACACTGGATTTGTGTCTGCCCGGGTCACATGTATTTGGCATGATGTACAAAACCCAAAGAGCAGCCCCTTGACTCAGCAGACGATGTGCTACAATTACCGTGAAGATGAGGTTAGTCTTTAGTTATTAAAATAGATGGTACACCAGAGGGAGAGGGGTAATTTGATCGCAGAAACACTGCCAACAGACGTGAACAGGGCAGAACAACAACTAGATCAGGGCCAGCCAATGACACAAAAGTTAAAAGCAACACACAAAAATCAGACCCACTATTAAAAAACTGAGAAAGATGCTTAAAAAGAATTCTGGCATATCCATTGTACTGTAAGCTCAATTACATATGTGCTTGATATTACTGCAAATCTGATTCCAGTCAGTGACTCCAGGCGTGATTGAATACCTAAATCGAATTACTATTTATGGTAACAAAACAATTACAGTGTCAATCATGAGCCGTGCCTTGGGTGTCTTTTCCCAAGGCATGTCGCCTCTTGTCCAACCCATTGCTGGCATCATAAGCTTGGGCTGCTTACTGCAAACACAAATGCAGGTGGCATGTCACACTCCTAAATGCTACTACAACCATATTTCAATGCTGAATCAGATGTAATCTGCCTTTTGCATCTGAGTTTACAGTGTTCTGGAATTGGGACCCCATCCAGGCCGATAAGTGCACAATATAGTATATACAAACCAATTCAGACTAGACATGTGCTGATATACGGTAAAACAATATATCACGATAGTGAACATGCACGGTATTGTGGTCACTTTAAAATACCATGAATAATTATTTATTACAAATTATTCAAAGTTTTAGAATGCATTTTAATAATACTTTTCAATCAACCGGTTTAAATGTACAACAAAGTGGCATGCACACACTCGCATGTAAACAAGCACAAAACAGAAAAAAAGAAGCTCATGGCAGAATGAGTGAAGGAGACGAGCTGAATGAAAATGCACATTCACTCACTGACAGCAGATGGCGCTGATGGAACAGCAGAAATGCAGCCATTACACTGGTAACAGCAGTGCAACTTTCTGTTTCTGAACAATATTTTAAACAGCCATTCAGATTTTGGTATTCGCAATGGTGTTTGTCACAGCACATAAATAGTTAATGCATTAACAAAGGTTAACTAATGAGACCTTTGGTGAACGATTACCTACTGTTCTTTATAAATCTTTTGCACTTTAATCTGTTTGAAACATTTGTTTACTTTATACATTCATGTATTGTTTTATGGTATTTAAATGTTCAGTTTTTTTGTTATAAGAAAAAAGTTTAACATTTTTTTTGCCACTTATTGCAATATGATAAAAGCTTCAGTATTCAATTATCGCAACATGAAAGTTTGATTCAGTCACATGGCTAATACAGAGCAACTGGATGTTTCAGACACTACAGAGAACAGCATTTACACCATGGACTGACCTGATCTTACAGCATGTATCGGCAGCAGGGACTCAGATACTTACACCACACCTCGTAGTAATAGCTGCAACACTGAGATTCTCCACAGCAGTAGCCTGAATCACAGAAGTAGCTCTGGTTGTTCAATCCAACACAAAGCAGCCGGTTCTGCAAAGCCAAAAGAAAATATAAGCATATAATCAGCACAAATATCAGGAGCTTTGTGCACCAAAAACTTGTTTCACGGCACACACAAAAAGTACTTTCAATGCAAAATAGGGCCAAAAGAATAGATTATGTTGTAGTTCTTTATTCTTTTGGACATATCTGACATATTTTGCATTGCGAATTACCGCTCAATTGTATTAAAGTGCTTTTTATTATCACATGTATGTAAACACATCCTGATGTCACTGTGTTATAATAAGTAAATAAACGTCCCCAACACAGAGACATCAGGCTGTCTTTACTACAGGTGATAATAAAAAGCACTTTAATACAATTCAGCGTAAACCCTAGAGTGTTCAGACTACATTATGTGGAATGCAATTCAAGTAACATTTGCTAATTCAATGAATAAAATGCTGATTCCTGTGGTATCGTTTTACCTGTCTAAACCCCAGGAGAAAAGGCATGATAGGCGTCTGATAGGAAAATCAACACAGCAGAGACAGAGTTTTGTTACACAGAGGGCTGCAAAGACCAAGAGAGAGACAGAGATAAGGCCGGGCTCGGGCCACCCACCACCCACACATGGTACAGTGCGACATGAACTGCCCCCTTTATTAGCCGGAGGGTCTCGTTTTAAACACACATACATACACAGCCTCCCTCATGGCATTTCAGACCCAGCGAGCGCTGCCAGGGAATGCAAGTAAACAGGATGAACAGACAAGCGGGTCTGTGCCTCACTCCCTCTCACATACACAAAGCAATGATGACAACTGCTGGCCTGACAGTTGTCTCAAGCGTCGTGCTAGACAGATACAAATGAAAGAAACACTGAAATCTTGCCTGAGGAACAATAATCTTTACTCCTGTAAAAATGCCATATAGGCGCCGATCCCGTGGGTGCTCAAGCCAGTTCTCCAGTTATTTTAGAGTTAAGTGCTTATTTTGAATAGGTATGAATATTTAGCAAACAGCTAATCATCAGGTAAGCCTATAGGCTATCATGGAGAGAATGCACTTTTATTTGGTTGGTAAAATGTATTTGCAGTGTATAATAATTTAGCCCAGTTATCATTTGCTCATGGAAACATAGGTGAATAAAGATGTGTTTTATATTTGGTTGCTGGTTGGTAATTTATTTGCATGTTTGTTTCTCAACACGTTGGGCTGAGATAATGATTAAAGGGATACTTCACCTCTGAAAAGATGAATGTGTATTTAAAATGGGTCATTTATGTAGAAGAAATGTGAAATTATTTTTGAATTTGGAGCTTTCTACTGAGAAAAGCCAGAAAATTTGTTTTTGGCTTATGTCATGTGGATGAAATACAAAAACTCCCAGAATGCACTTGCTTCAATGCAGGACGCCACACCTATCAGTAACAGAGCGCAGTAGTTAAACAAGTCTAGGCTACTAGTGAGCCTCCGTGATGAGTCTGCCCCGGATTTCGAGATCACCCAAAATGTCCAGGATTCGGCTTTTGCGTTCTACAGTCACCATTCATTATGATTACTGTGGTGAGCAGGACGAGACTAGCAGTGTTAAAACGCACATCAACCAATCATTTGTTTAGCGTTCATGTAAACACTACATTCAGATTCACCAATCGGAATGAATTCAGTTAGAATGAAACAAAAGGTGTGCATGTAAACAATGAATGGCGACTGCAGAAAGCAAAAGCTGAATCCCGGACATTTTGTACAATCTCAACGGCTGGACATGACCGGGAAAAAGAGGATGGTAACCCAATACTATTCAGCTTTCTCCTACTAAGTTACTCAGCTTTCTCCACAGAACAGAGCCTGCTAGCTTAGCTTCCAAAAAAAAAAAAAAAAGATGGCTGACACAATGTGTACATATCGTACATTCTGTGAGTGAGATCCCACCCTCTATGGGAAGGTTGAAAACATGCGGGACAGCTCCTACTACTGTCTGTAGTCTTTAGCCTCTGGTTAAAAAATCCTCCGATGACGCCAAATGACGATTTTTGCGCCATCTGAGGATTTTTCCAGACAAAAAATGAACATAAATCAGGGGGATATGAGGGTGGAAAGCACAGTAATTTGAAAGTACTACAGGTTTCCTACTAATACAAATACTACTAATACTAATACTAATAAATCCTGAAGTATGCCTTTAATGATAAGAAGCTGAAAGCTAAAGACTGAGTATTCAGGGCTGCAAACCTGTGTAAGGACGGACATAGTACCAAAAAGTTCATAGAAGGAATAGCAACTGGCAGCAAACAGCTGCGTTGAAGGTTAATTAGTTAATTATTACACATTCCTAGTCAGAGAGAGAGCAACAGTAGTGTTCCAAATAATATTTTTAGCGATAATTTGTAAAGCATTCAACCAATGAACCATAAGTATGCAGAGAATTTAAGATTGAATTCCAGACATCAGATGCCATTCATGTCTAACAAAGGTATACACATTTGATAAGCTTTTCCATTTGGGTGTTGCCAGAACTAATGCTCTACGTCCGTAACTACAGACACACCACTTTTGAAATAAGGGCTTGTATGGGTGTTGCTGCAGTTAGTCCACATTATGGTACATTTGCGGTTTACAGAGCTTCAAGAGATAACCTAGTTCCTCCAAAAATTAAAATTCCATCATCATTTACACACACTTATGTCGTTTCAAACCTCTATGACCTAGATCTTCTGTGGTAGATATTTTGAAAAATGTATTTGGTGACCATTGACTTTAATTGCATTGATATAAAAACAGACCTTTCTCAAAAAAATATATTTTGTTGTGCAGAAAAATTAAAGTCATAAAGGTTTAGAACAAAATGAGAGTGATTAAAAGATTTTCATTTTTGGCAATCTTCTAAATGACATAGGGCTTTCTCCTTGTCTCTTTTCCCCCATATTTATGGTTCAATATCTCTACCTACGAGATTTAAAAAAAAAAAAAAACCTGTATGTAGAAAATGAATGGGAAAAAAAATTGTGGAACCAAGTCATTGAAAATGTAGGGGATCACTTTCACACTGTACTGATCATGGTATTAAAAAAATAAAATGTGCAAAATTTTATTTATTTATTTTTTTAAAGTTTGGTGTTGTATCTCTAATATGTATAGGCTACTACAACTATTCAAAGGTTTGGCTTAATAATTTTTTCTTGTTTTACTTTTGAGTAATGACACATTAAATTGGTCAAAGTTGACAGTAAACACATTTATAACACAAAAGGTACAAGAAAAAAAAATCTCATGTGACACTGGACTGGAGTAATGGCTGTTAAAATTCAGCTTTGAACAGGAATGAATTACATTTTAAAATAAACTGAAATGGAAAACAGTTATTTTAAATTGTAATAATATTTTATAACATTAGTGTTGTATAGTATTTTTAATAAATGCAGCCTTGGTAAACATAAGATAAAAATGTTTTGTACTGATCCAACTTGTGAACAGTAGTTTGTCTGTGTCATTGAAAATGTGGGAATCATGTGAAAAAAGGTTGTGATGTACAGATTGTTTTTCATCATCTAATATAATCACGTCCCAGTCTAAATTTTCAACATTTCACAGGCATAAAGCATGTGGTTTCAGTCATGTTAGCAGATCTGAGATCAGCCTATCTTTCAGGCACCTACATTCCCTCAGAGATAACACCTGTGGAGAGCAAACAGCTCACTCCCTGACCTTGATCTACCACCTGTCACAACAGAGAGAAGAAGAGCATCTTCAAACATACACGACTTTCACAGTCAAGGCCAGAATGAGAACAGTCAAAACAGCCTCAGCCCATCATCAGGAAAATCTTTAAATATGTGCTTTTTTTAGACAGACAATTTTAAAGAGTTAATCACAGTCAACTGTACAATTCGAAATGTCACTAAACAATTAGTTTGATGCAGAACGATCACAATTCACAACCATACAGATAAAACATGGCTCTGCATTAAAAATCCCTTATTGTACACCCTTACTACATCAGCAGCAGTAATAATAGACAAGCCTTTTTAATTAGGTACCGAATATCATTTAGAAAGAATAACATAAGGGATGAGACAAAGCGTTATGAATCATACATCTGGTTGTGAATTTACCAGTAATCCCAGCCAGATTGAAATTGAACAAACTGGCCAAAGAATTGCATTCTATTTACAGATGAATATTTCTTGACGTTTTTGAATTGGTCTAAAGAATTGCTGACTTTAAAAAATACTTTAAAACTTTTTTTTTATTAATTGTAATCCAGTGAGATTATTGTATGCTCAAGAAGTCTGAGAACAGCCGGTATGATCCACAGAGATCTGTTCTCACCATCATTGAGCCTATCTGTGATTACATGAAGAAACAAAAAACTGAGACAGCCTTTAAACAAAAGAACTGTAGCAACATCTCCAAGACGCTTGAAGAAAACTTCCTGCAATGCTACAGTACTGTGAAAGTATTAGACACTTAAAATGCTGTAAATGTGAGGATGCTTTCAAAAAAATAATGTCATAAATGGCTTTTAGTTATCAATTAATTTCAATTAACTACATCAAATCAATATATGGTGTGACCACACTTTGCGTTTAAAACAGCTTTTGTTTGAGGTACACTTGCACATATTTTTCAGTTTCCTTTGCAGGAAGGTTTCATTTTTGCACAGTACAGTATATAAAAGTAAATATATGTATGAGTACAATGTAAACACATGTTGTACACAATAAGTGCATTGCATCATTTTTTTGTTTTAATTAAAATGTTAGTATAGTAACTTAGCTGACAACTTGAGCCATATCAACAACATAAGTAAAGCTGTTCAGATCAGACCTCCAGGCTGTCAACTTCCAATCCTTTGTGTTAAATAAACACTGAATCATTTTGTTTAGAAAAGAACGAAAAAGATCAAGTATGAACCATGTAAAATTTGTTTGTGGCATGACAGACTCAAAAGTCTAAGTTATCTTTGTTGTCACCGCTGTGGACACAAGTACACAGGCTGTGCCTCGAAACCCAACGAGCTGACTAACGTTGATTAGACAGCATTCTGGGCACCATTACAGCGTTTGACGCACTTAAGATACATAACAATGCTGTCTAACTAGGAAGCACACTAGGTTTGGAGACACAGCCACAGTCTACCGGCTAGGCTAAATTATGATGCTAACAGTGTCTTTACCTCGGTCAACGCTGCCTCCACTGACACCGAACCGACTGTTCCAATAACCGCGTTACTTACAAACAACCCCATGCCCAGTTTTATATATACAACCCCCCACATTCCGCCCTTTCCCGTGGCTTTCGACACATCTGCGACACGGCAGTACATTCAGCTAGCCTGCGAGCTAGCTTCAGTTACGTCTCTTTCTTCTTTCTTTCAACTCTCTCACAAACTCCGAAAGTCTCATCAAGGCCCGCCCCCTGCTGCCATTGGTCCGTTCAAGCAAACACTTCCTGCTTTGACAAATAAACGTAGGCACGATTGGTTGATTTATCTGTCTTTTAAAAACAACCAAAGCTACGGTAGGGCGTGACTTTGTTGTTCTTTACCAGCTGAGAACAAGAAATCAGCTGACATTGAATTTAAAGGGGCAGGATATGACATATTTCCGTATGCAAAAATTAAAGCAAGCAAGCAAGCAAGGACTAAATTAATAAAATATTACTTTTCATTAATTTTCTAAAATTAATTCAATAATTCTTGTATTAATGAATGAATATAAGTATGGGTAATAATAATTAAATTTTAGAATAGCTACTGACTGAAGTTTAACCAATTTTTTTTTCTTGGAGGATACCATCCAGTAATACATATAGAATATTAAGAATATTAGAAACATTCCAGAACAATTTATTAATTACTAAAAGTGTGGAACAGAGATGCTGAAAGTATCTAAAGGGTTTCGCTTAAGTCAAACAAAAAGCTACTGCCTGCCTTGCTGGCAAGTCTGGCAACATTTCAAGCAAACAAATAATAACTAAGCTAATTATTTATTGTTTGAAATAGAACGTTTTTAAAATTATTTTTCATCTTTTCTCAACTTCAGCAGATGCCAATCTATGCAGGGTGCATCTATACTGCCCTCAAAATGTCAGCAAATGAAGGCATGATGTTAGATAGGACGTTGTGAAAACACTGGTTTCTACAGTTTCTGGTCTATACCTTCAGATTCTGCCTGCGAAAGCAGCATGCATGGTTCAGGTTTCGGACACAGCAAGAGTATCATCGAGAAAGTGACAACCACTGATCCCTGCAAATACAATGTAATCTCTCTCAAGTAAACATGTTTGTTCTGTGCTAAAAGTGATTTTGACAGCCATAGCTAAGGGCTCCTATACTTGCTTTAATCCTGCGACATATCTTTCCGACTTGGGACTGCGGCTTCTTAGGTGAGACTCTTTGAACTGAGCCAAGTTAAAAGGAACAAAAGCAAACAAATCACATTGTTCTTTCAGGAATTTTTCTTGTTCACTGGCTTTCATTTCTCTCTTTTTTAGGCACTTCTCTCATTCAGAACAGTGAAGTCAATGGATCCTTACATCCCAGCTTGACAAGTTAGGAGGATACAAGCTAATCCCCTAATCTGTCTATTCTCCCGTGCAGTGCCAAAGGGGGAGAGGTACCCAGCACAAGTAATCCTATAGAAAAAACAATAGGATTAGACCCCAGCTCTTGGAGTGACAATCAGATATCTACTGACTGATTTGCAAAGTAGGGTCGAGTTTCTTCAAATTAGCTTTTTTTCCCTCCTCTGGGGAAAAGGTGCCTTTCATTAACTGCTGGTGGGATTCCTTTAGGACAGATGCTGGAGGTCTGCATGAAAGGCATGTATTCTTCGCTTCCAGCACACAAGTCCTGCTTCTCCCACAGCAGAGGCTGAAAGGTGGGGACGGACCATTGGCCTGGACAACCCCTCCACCTCTTTACCCTCTGTCAACTCCTTTATGATTCGAACTCTAATGCCTTTAAAAAGTGTTTGACAGATGGATCAGATTCCACTGAGGATACATGTAGCAGATCAACAAGACCAAATGTGAGATACAAAGGCAATGTGAGATATGCTGCCTGTTTGCAGTCATGCAACATGTTTTTTATTTTTATTTATTTTTTCACTTAATGAGATTAAAGTTTTGGGCAGTTTTTGCTTGTTGATTTTTTTTTATATAAAACCTTGAAAACTGGCTAAGCCAGCTAATTAAGTGTATAGCCACTAAAAATAAAGTTTCCAAATTAGGGTTTCGCAGTGATGCCATTGAAGAACCATTTAGGGTTCCCCAAAGCCAAAGAACCCATAGAGAACAGTTCTTAAAAATTCCATTTTTAAGAATTTTTCCATATTGATTTTTCAAAGCTGGTTTTGTCAATATTTTGAATCAAGCATTACATTATATTAAATTATGTAATTTATATATATTTAAAGATATACTTTAAAAATATATTTGGGGTATTATTCAAATATTTTATTGTTATATAATGGTCCAGATGCCCATCATTTTGGGCTGTGAAATAATATTGCAAGTACAATAGATGTGTCTTCCTTTTGACCTTTAGATGGCACCATTGGTGTAAAATTACCCCAGAATCCTCTGAGATGTCTGTGTGGTTTGAAGCTTATTCTTGGGTGTGTGATTAGCCACTGTGACACTTGATACTTAACCACAAGCTAATGCAGCTTGGGAAAGGCATCATCCTGTAGGAAACAAGGGTCACCTGCGCTGAAAAGGAAGTCCTTGATTCCATTTAAGTCCAGTGAACTTGGCCAAGCAAAACATGATGTGACTCTTAACTTCATCTCACATTACTTTTCCAATCCGGTCCATAAATAAAGAGAACACTTGTGGATAATTGTGCAAGTGAATAATGTGTGAAATTCAGCTAAACCTAGGCCTACTATGTCATTTTGAGGCAGAGTAGTCATTCTCATATTAATCAAAGTCAAGACAACCCTGAGAAATGTGAATGGAGGATGTGAAACTATGAAGTTCTTGTTCATGTATCTACAAAATATAAAACATGATAAGAATTGAATGACTAAAGGCTCTCACCCTCCTAAAATCTAAGGTAACATGATGGATACTGTTTCACCTGCTAAACACTTTGCTCTCCCTGCCAAATAGCTTGGCTTCCCACTATTCTTCCAACATCTGCCGGGAGAATCACGGTGTAATTGAGGCTTTAAAAAGGCATGCCAGAAAGCTCACCAGATGCATCATTACTGTGTTCGGCCTGTCTTTTGAAAGCTAAATTTACGAAGCGGTCTTTGCTCAGGTCTCTTTCGGTGGTTTGCACTCTTTACTCTGAATGCTGTTGAGATGCTAGAGCATGTGTCCAGCATGGGAAAAGATGCTGTACAAACAAACAAAACAACTGGAGCTATGAATTAAAACAAATTAGATCATAATGCTTTCAAAAATGTCATTAGCGGTTTCTCGTGACTCCTTCTTTCCGTCCAGATGTTTCTTCAGAGATCAAAGCAGGAATGTGCTCTAATGGTGTAAACGTATTTGTTGTGTAATACTGGTGGATAATGTAAACCCTGGTGCAGGAAAAGTAGACCTTTTGTCCTCAAATTGCCAGTATGATTTTACAGTGATTTGTGCAGGTGCAAAGCGTGTAAAGTGGTTTTAATCCCATGTCTTTGTAATCATTGCCTTTTTATATGCCATCATTTCCAATCTGTGCTGCGTGTACAGGCAAGTGTAAAGATAAAGTGTAAATAATCATGTTATGCCTGACGTGACATTGCTTGGTCTGTGGACAATGTTTGTGTGTGTTCCTTTGTGTGCTGTAGGTTCTGAAAACGTAATCCTCAAATCCCCTTCCCATAAGTCGCCTCCAACCCCTCCTCTGAACTCGGAAGGTCTTCATACCTTTGTCAGAAACTGTGAGCTTGTGGCTCACCCACAGTTCCCCAGAGGGCTTTTAGTAATGACCTTGCGCCAGCTAGCTAGATAGATAGATATACAAACATGATAGATATATAGACAGATAGATGATAGATAGATAGAAACATGAGAGATAGAAAGACAGACAGACATATGGACATGATAGATAGATAGATAGATAGATAGATAGATAGATAGATAGATAGATAGATAGATAGATAGATAGATAGATAGATAGATAGATAGATAGATAGATAGATAGATAGATAGATAGATAGATAGATAGACAGATAGATAGATAGAAAAAACATGATAGATATATATATAATGACAGACGGACTGACAGACATGATAGACAGACAGACAGACAGAGAGACAGACAGACAGAGAGAGACATGATAGATTGATAGATAGAGAGGCAGACATGATAGATTGATAGATAGATAGACAGACATCATAGATAGATAGATAGATAGATAGATAGACAGACAGACAGACAGATATAGATAGACAGACAGACAGACAGACAGACAGACAGATAGATAGATACAGACAGACAGACAGACAGACAGACAGACAGATAGATAGACAGATAGATAGATAGATAGATAGATAGACAGACACAGAGACAGACATGATAGATAGACAGACAGAGAGACAGATATGATAGATAGATTGATAGATAGACAGACAGACATGATAGATTGATAGATAGATAGACAGACATCATAGATAGATAGATAGATACAGTAGACAGATAGATAGATAGATAGATAGACAGACAGACAGACAGATAGATAGACAGACAGAGACAGACATGATAGATAGATAGATAGATAGATAGATAGATAGATAGATAGATAGATAGATAGACAGACAGATAGATAGACAAACAAACATACGGACAGACAGACAGGATAGATAGATAGACAGACAGAGACAGACATGATAGATAGATAGATAGATAGATAGATAGATAGATAGATAGATAGATAGACAAACAAACATACGGACAGACAGACATGATAGATAGACAGACATGATAGATAGATAGATAGATAGATAGATAGATAGACAGACAGACAGACAGACAGACAGACAGACAGACATGATAGAAGATAGATAGATGGACGGACAGAAAGATAGATAGACTTCAGAAAGATCTTGCACTCTTAACGTCTATTATTTATCAGACAACATTATGAAATCTGGAAAATAAAAATCAAGAAAGAAAACTAATGCATAGAGTACATATTGTATAATGGCAATTATCTAATTTTACATGCTTTTACAGAAGCCACAAAGTGTAAAATTCCCTGACTTCATTCTAGGAACATCCACAATGTCATCCTCAATATGAGTGAGTGCCCATTTCCTGCTGAGCTCCAAACCTATGTATTAATATTTATTGAAGTGACCACGTCTTTCAGTCCCATGAGGCCATATTTCCTGCATGATTGTACAATATCTGCACGGAGGTGTAGGCATTCCTTTTATCCTCAGTGACAAAATCAGCTAATGGATTGTCCCACATTGCATATGATCTAATTTATTCCGTGATTGACCATAAATCACATCAAGCCCAACATAAGCCCCACCTTTTAAGAATTACATTGAGCAGCAAATGTGCATTGTCTCGGGTTGATTAACGTTTCTTCTCAGCAGTTTAAAAACAAAGTATGGTGAGTATATGTTTTGATAGATGTGCATTATGTTGATTTAAAGAGATAGTTTGCCCAGAAATTAAAATTCTGTTATCATTTATTCATGCTGAAAAAACGTCCCTCATATATGTTATGACATGGCTTCTGAAGATAATATGTCATTTCATGTAATTTTGAAGCTTGACAGCCCCAGTCTAATTCTTACATTGTAAAGAAAAAAGTGGCCAGGGTATTCCTGAATGAAATAAGGGTAAATAAATACGTACAGTAGGCCTACAAAATCTTCATTATTTGGTCAACTATTCCATTATCTCCCACATATCCAAAATGTATTTAAAATATGTCAAATGAATGTTTTATTTAGTGCAGTTTAAGGAAATGTATATTAGCAGTATAATGTTTGCATATTTAATTGTTGTATATTTTAAATATACTTAAAAAAATATCAAGTATGTCTATGACAGATTTTATTTGTTTTTCTTTGACACAACTGAGATGTTTAGGATAACATGGCAAAATTCCTATGAGTTATCACAGAGGAATCCCAAAGGAAAACAAGGCAGCCTAGAGTGTGACAGGACAATACCTTTGCATTGTCATCCTGTGACTACACCAAATCCAAGAGGGCTTTAACATCAGAAGCATGAGGTATTTGGTTTGGGCTTAACCATGTCAGCGAAGACCTCCGCTAGCTCTGGATGCTAATGCGCTCAGCTACTTCTATGCTGCTTTGAGAGGACAGGGAAAGAAGAGGTGTGTGGCTTCCACCTTTGGTTGTTCTGTTACCCTCTTTACAGATGTCTGCTCCAGCACAGACCCATCAGCCACCCATAGCTTTTAAAGCCTAACCTCTGACCTTAGATTTCTCACTTTACGGTGTATAACACTAGTCGAAAACACTTACAGGGTCACCAAACATCTTTCTTGCCACTTTAGGAACACCAGGGAAACGATTAAAACACATGTAACAGAAATGTATTCTTAACACAGAGATTTATAAACCAACCAAAAGTCACTTATTTTCAATGACAGTTGAAGAAAACATTGACAGTTGGCAATGGAATGTTGTAGAGTCTAGTGATTTGACAAGAGTATGCGCTTATGTAAATGAGCAACACAACGACAACCAATAGGAGTGAAGACACTGGCGCTCATGTGATCAGTCTCTTCTGAGATACTGAAGTGAAGTGTCAGTAAGATGCAGTGCTACGACGTGCGTTTGATCACAAAAAAATGATGCATGGTTAACTGTCAAAAATGGTCAGAGTTTGATTCATGCATTGATGATGATACATTATGCACGAGTGTAATTTATATACAAACACTTTCCCCTCCAGGCTGTTCATTTGTAATGGTAAGAAAACTGATTCCTTGTCATGATAGAATGACAACCCATTTATGATCTGATTTTTTTAATACTAAGGCCAGTTACGATAATACTATAGCAGCAGGAACGCCCACTGGACCAATTGCAAGCGATAAAATGCTGTATGTGTGAGCAAGGCATTACTGAGGTGTTATGGGATCAATATAAACAGCAACAGACCAAGAAATTCAGTGCAATGCAAGCCTCTGCACACTAAGAACAAAA